AATTTATTTTGATTTTTATTGTAGAGATGAAGTCGCACCAAGTTGCCCAGGCTGGCCTTAAACCCGCAGGCTCAGGCAATCCCTTCACCTTGGCCTCCCAAAGTACTGGGATTACAGGCTTGAGTGACCAAGCCCGGACCTAAGATTAATTTTTTAAAAAATGGAGTTGGGGTCTCTGTTTCCCAGGCTGGAGTGCAGTGACACAATCATGACCACTGCAGCTTTAACCTGCTGGGTTTAGGTGATCCTTCCACCTCTGCCTTCCAAGTAGCTGGAACTATGGGCGGGTGCCACCACACCTGGCTAATTTTTTTAATTATTGTAGAGGCAAGGTCTCGTCATATTGTTCAGGCTGGTCTTGAACTCCTGGGTTTAGGCAATCCTCTTACCTCGGCCTCTGAAAGTGCTGGGATGACAAGCGTGAGCCACCGTGCTTGGCCTCTAAGCTTGATTTAATGGTTGTAACTATCATTTAAAAGATTAAATAGAATAGGATAGAAAATATTATCAGAGTGCTTGGCACATAGGATAACTATTATGTGAAACGACATGTGTGTGAAATTGTGTTTTTACACACATTCTGAGCAAGAGTTCCAGAACCACTCATTAAGGTGAACTCCAAGACGCTTCTCACTGCCATAGTATGTTTCTCCGAACAGCAGACTTCTGCAGGTCACGTTTCCACAAGTCCCCTGGCCATTTCCTTGGCTCTGGTGGGGGACTGACTGCGCTTAAGACCCCCTCTGCCGTCCAGGGCCAGGAATTCCACAGGCTCTCGCCGGTCAGTCTTCACTGAAGGCCCAAGGCCTCCTCTTGGACTTCCTGACGCTGATCCTGGGCCGCCCAGAGGAGCCCTTTAAATACAGCAGCACTGGCCCAAGTCCCGGCTCCATCATCACTTATGAGCTCTGGGACTGTGGGCCGGTTCCCCCAGGCGTCCGCCTCCTGGCTGGACCCCAGGTCTGCAAGCTGGGTGGGCTTCCTCCTTCATTTACTTGGGAAGGTCTGGGCTCCCCACCATCCCCCACATTTCTCTTGGTTCTCTGGTATTTGATTTTCTGCAGATTCCTTGGCTCGTTCAATCTCGCAGGCCCTACTTTTGAACCTTGTAGAGATAGTGACCTCTGGGCTTTCCTGGGACCCCTGTTCAGCCCGACCTCCTGTGGAATAAGGGGCTTTCTTGGGGGATTTACATCTTCGAGGTCCCCTAAGAACTATAGATCAGTGGCTGCAGGGTCGTGGCTTATGCCGAGCTGCCTGGTCCCTATCCATTCCCCACATGTCCCTGGATGTCCCGCCCACCCATTCTGAGAGAAGCCCCCAGGGAAGGCTCACAGAGAAGCCTTCCCATTCCCAGGAGGGCAGTGCCTTTGGCTCAGAGGTAACGCGCTGTCGGGTCACGGAGAACAGGGGCGGAACTCCCTGTCCCTCTGCCCTGTGAGAGGGGCTGGAGGGAGGGTTCTACCGATGAGGACACAGGGTGAGTGGATGTCAGGGACACAGTCCCAGGCCTCGTGGGCTCATTGTCCATCCTCCAGCAGGCAGGGCTTCTGCTGCTCCAGCAGGTCCCCAGGGGGAGGCGTGACCTGTCACATGCCCTCACCCCCAGCTGGTGCGGAGTGTTCCAGTGTCAGCCCGAAGAGGCCAAGGGAGGGGTTTACTCTGGGGGGGGGTCCGTTGCAAAGACCAGGGAGCTGGGGGGCTGGGGAAGGTTGCAAACTGGGGCAGCCGCCTGGCCAGCCCATTTGTTTGTTTTTTCAGCATTTTGTTGTGGGAATTCCAAACACCCAGAGAAGTTGAAAGAATACCACCTCCATATACCTGTCAGGTTCGGCCGTGACTGATAAACCAATTAAAAATTTAAAAATCACTCTATTTACTGGATCCCACGTCTCTCCAGTTCTGTTTGTTTTTCAATGGCTAATGTCTAGCTGTCAGAAAGTTACTTCGACTTCTAAAGATTTGCTTGCGGCAACAACTGCCGCAAGTGAAAACAACGCAGGGCGGGCGGATTCCGCAGCTCTGTCAGGATGAAGCTCCTTTAGCGTGGTGGGTGCCTCCGTTTCCTCAGCCGCGCTGGTCTGGGGCGCTGCAGGATGTGGTTTGTGGCCTGTGGTGGCCTGTGGGCTTTTCCTGATGGCTGCTGAACTGCTAATGGCACATGACTCGAGCCTCTATTCTTTTTTTTGAGTAGGAGTCTCATTCTGGCGCCCAGGCTGGAGTGCAGTGGCACGCTCACGGCCACGGCCCTCCAGGTAGCCGGAACTACAGGCACGTGTCACCACACCTGGCTAACTTTTTCGATTTATTGTAGACACGAGGTCTTGCCAAGTTGTCCACACTGATCTCGAACACTTAGGCTCAGACAGTTCTCTTACTTCAGCCTCCCAAAGTGCTGGAATTACAGGCGTGAGCCACCGTGCCCTGCCAAGCCTCTGTTCTTAGAATGGACCAGTTGTTTACATAGGATAGCCTTCCCTGAGATGTCACCAAGAACAAGTCTATTTTGTAGCTCATTTGGGTTGGTTTGGAGTGTCTGTGTCTGTGTATTTTTTGTATTCGAGTATGCATGTGCATGTGTATGTTTGAGTGTGCACACGTGTGTGTGTGTGTGTGTGTGTGTGTGTGTGTGTGTGTGTGTTTACCAGGTGGTTATGCTCCTCCTGCAGTCTCAGTCCACCCCAGACCCTGGCTGGAGTGAGAAGACCCCCTTGATTTCTGTCCCCGTGGCCCTGACCCTGGCAGCCACACACCAAGTCAACAGACCCTCAAGGTTTCCTGGGCTCGGTTCCACAGACACCTTTGCCCTTCTGCTGAGGAGCTGGAGTGCACATTCCCCACCCCTCCCGGGAGAAGAGATGTTTGCTCATTTCCAAAGCTAACGCTTCCCCCTGGGTCCCGTGCCCCTTTCCTTCAGGACACTGTGCTCCACTTTTGAGCTGTCCGTCTCCTCTGGCTACCTGTCATCTTCCCCACGTCCATCGATTTCTCAGCCTCCAAGGCTAGAGAGCAGACTCGATGTCGACCCTTCTGGTCCCCTCCTCTCTCATCTGTTCTCTTTGAACACCAAGGGCCCAGCACAAGTGGCCATTCGCAGAGAGAAGCGGTGAACTGTTGAGCTCTGATAGTGTTCTGAAAATAATCTCTTGCCTGTATCCTCTTCTTCTCACAGCCAACCACCACCTTATCTCTCTGCTACGCCTCACAGCCACATGGTGGTCAGAGACTCTTTTATCATGTGTTGAATCACATGCCATTCAGATAGCTCCAGTGGCAACATGTCCCACCATGTCCTTATCGAGTTCCACGCACTGTGTGAAGCCCTTGACCTCCACCACCTCTAAACTCCCAGAGAAGCAGATTCAGCAAACTGAGGCAGGACTCATGAATCTCCGTTTTATTTTATTTATTTATTATTATTATTATTTTTAGTTGAAGTCTCACTCTGTCATCCAGGTTGGAGTGCAGTGGCACACTCACGGCCACCCCAGCGTTGACCTGCTGCTGGGCTCTGGCGATCCTTCCGCCTTCCCAGTAGCCAGAACTACGGGTGCACGCTACTATGCCTGGCTAATTTTTTTTTTATTGTAGAGACGAAGTCTCTCCAAGTTGCCCGGGCTGGTCTCAAACCTGTGTTAAACCCACAATTCAAAATCCGAGAGACCACTAAAGAGCCAGCTCTGATGCAAACACACGAGGGTCTTTATTCAGACTTGAGGCTGGGCTCACGTTTGAAGCCGATGCAGCAGCTTCAGGGACGAGAGAGCCCCGACCCAGGCTAACACGCACCTTTTATACATAATTCTGAAGGGGTGGGGTGGCTTTACAAACTTGTGCACACAGGGTTGGATAAAAACTATATGACACAGTTACAAAGACTTTGATTGGTTGATTTAAGTTCGATTTGCGCCAGCTCAGGTTTAGTTACTTGTGATGGACAAGTAACTGCCAAACGGGCGGAATGGAATGCCAGATAAGCTAGGTTTAGTGAGCAGGCAGGAGGTTTGAAACAACACCGAGCTTACCAGGACAGAGACGCCACAGAGGCTACCACAATTTAAACAAAGGAATGTCCGGAAGGGGCTTATTGCTTAACATTCACACACTGCTAGCAGCGGTTGCAGAATTCATATAGTAATAGTTCTTTTTTGAGTTTTTTTTTAATCTCTTGGGTCTCTCACCTGCAGGCTCAGGCAATCCACCCACCTCGGCCTCCCAAAGTGCTGGGATTACAGGCTGAGCCACCGAGCCCGGCCTGAAATCTCTATTTTAAACAACAGCCCAGGGATCCCGATGTGGGCTGTCCTTAGCTATTTCCTTAGATAGCACCGTCCTAGAGTACCTGTTGCCAGAGACTCACACCGTTGCTCTGGTTTGCGCCTCACAGTGTAGCTACTTGCTGCATGTTTGTTTTATCTTCATAGCGACATTATAAACTCCCAGAAGCAAGAGATCACACTTTTACATTTTTCTTTTGTGATATACAAGAGCCCACCCAGGGGCTGTGTATCTAGAAGTAACTCCATAATTATTGTTAGGCTGGGTGGAGTGACTCGTGCCTGTGATCCTAACACTTTGGGAGGCCGAGGCGGGAGGATCGCTTGTGGCTAGGAGTTTGAGACATACCTGGGCAGCAGAGCGAGACCTGTCTCTATGAAAAAGAGAAAAATTAGCTAGGCATATTGGTGTGTGTCTGTAGGCCCAGCTACTCAGGAGGCTGATGCAGGAGGATAACTCGAGCCCAGGAATTCAAGGCTGCCATTGCACTCCAACTTGGCTGGCAGAGTTAAACACATACACATAATGGATATAGATATAGAGGGGATGGAAAAATAACTAAGTGGGATTTTTTAGGGAAATTTTTGTTACATTTTTTGGCCCATCTGTTACATTTTGGGAGGGAGTTTTCCACTGAGATAAGCTTCTAGGGATAATGGTTATTAACACATTTGTTAACTTTGTTGGGGGTGATATCACTACTACTGACTCTTTCCTTTCAGTGGACTTCCAAGATGGCAAGAGAGAGAGCCTCTCCGTGTACCTCGGGGAGTTTTTTGACATCCGCGTGTTTGTCAACGGTACCGTGACGCAGGGCGACCACGGGTAAGTCCAGAGTGTCCGAGTTAGAAAGGTCCCGGGGATCCCCTCATTTTTCAGATGAAGAAGCTCGGGCCGAGGGAGGAAGTAGTATGCCCAGAGGAAGTGAGCAGCGGGGCTGGGTGACAGCCAGACCTCTCAACTGCCGGTCTAGGCCCTCAGCCACTCGGCACCCTGTTCTGAACCCTAACAATACGGAGCTGGGGTTGAAGGTGGAAGGCCATCCCAAACGGGCATGAGATGCCCACGTCCGAACTTGTCCTTCACCCTCCAGAGTCTCCGTGCCCTACGCCTCCAAGGGGCTCTATCTGGAAACGGAGGCTGCGCACTACAAGCTGTCCAGCGAGGCCTATGGCTTTGTGGCCAGGATCGACGGTGAGGGCAACTTTCAGGTCCTGCTGTCAGACAGATACTTCAACAAGACCTGTGGGCTGTGTGGCGACTTTAACGTCTTCGCGGAAGATGACTTCAGGACCCAAGAAGGTATGATTTTCTGGGGTTCCGTCTCCCATGCTTTTTACTTCCTGTGCACAAGACTTTACCAACCTGCCTCTCCGATGGCATTCAAGCCCCACCGTGTCCTTGCCCCAACCTGTCTCGCCAACCTTATCTCTTGGCATTCCACCACAGTGCCTAGACCTCCAGGCAAACCAGCTCTTGGAGCTCCTGAAAGCTGACTTTGTTCAACTTTGAATTCTCCATAGCAACTTACACACGATAGATGGTTGGTCATGCTGGATGGCTTGAGTCAGGAGCCCACTACAGTGGAGTGGATACAATCTATAAAGAGTGGTCCAAGCCGGGCTCGGTGGCTCAGCCTGTAATCCCGCGCTTTGGGAGGCTGAGGTGAGTGGCTTGCCTGAGCCTGCGGGTTCGAGACCCACCTGGGCAACTTG